AGGAGTATTTTATTGGAAAATGTTATAATTATAATATAACATGATATTATAAATTTATAATATAATATAATATAATTAAGTATTTTTATTCATAATTTATTTATAATATTATATGTATTTCTTCATTTAATATCATATTATATTTATTTAACACTATAAAATTATAAACTTAATTCTATGTAACGTTATAACTAATGCATTGCTCTTATTTTATTAGTATAATTAATTTTTTAATGGGTGAACCTCATAGGTATTCCCTATTCATCCCTTCTTTAATAAAATCAACATTTTGATAATTCAAGTAATAACCTTAACCAAATGGTCAGTTAATTTTACCAAAAGTTAACAATTTGGGTAAATTTTAACAATTTGGTCACTCAACTCATGATTCTAAAAAATACTATCACCCAAGTTTTTAAGTTTTTCATCTATTCTAATAATTTATATAAGATTCAAGTGGGTCCTACTCTAATCAAGTTGTTGTTTTATTGCTTAGTAGGAGGTCGATAAAAAAGAAATAAAAAGAAACCAAGCATCCTTTTCAAACACTTGAATGGGATTGTATATCTTCGTAAAACATACCTTTAACCTTTAATTAATGAGCTTCTAGGACCAAATTGAATATTTCTTTTCTTTATGAATTTTATTTAATAAAATTAGCCAAAAACAAAAACAAAGAGACATAAAACAACAAGAGTTGTCAATTAATTTAAATAATTTGATGATAATCTTCTTTATGTTAAAGTATAGGTTTTCAGTTTAAATAGTATACATGGGTGGGATGACTTAAGAAATAAGAAAGAGTTATTTTTGATTGTATAATTCTATATATATATATGTAGAGCTAATTAAGATGATTTAATGTGACAAATTCCAAACATGGAATGAACTATAACAAAATAAAGTTAGATGAGCAGTTAGCACCTATGCAATCTTTAGCTTTCAGGAAACAAACTAATCTCTTTGACATCCGATGTTCCCCTGCTGTCTGAAAGCCATCCTTCAACTAAATTTTATTTTCTTGGACTATCTCTCTACCTACCATCTCCACTCTCTCCCCTAGCCTTCTCGAAGACTTTGATTGAGTTTGTTTCATCAAATTCAAACGCGTTGGAAATGAACCTAATCAACCAAAATGACACTTATCCTATAGAATATGAAGGAAACTAGAATGTTATAATTGCGATTATGATTTTAATGCACCTGGTCCGGCTCAGCCCCAAAGATATAATTTCCCCCACATAATTTTTTTTTGTCACATCATGATATCATATCAACTCAAGTGAAATATCTAATCTCAATTTGAATAATTAACCTGTGTTTGAAATATGTAGATAAATAACACGAAAAATTATCTAATAGGAAAGAAAAACAAATAAAATTGGATATCTTATTAGTGGGTTCATCTGGTTGATTACACAACATGCTTGTTAAGAACAAGTTTTGTTTTTATGAAAAATCCTAGCTTTTTTTTTTAATAATAAATAATGTTTAAACATTGATTAATTTAAAGTTGGTTTTAAATTTACATACGCCTATTAAATCAGTTTTAAGATGAGCACGAACCATATCAAAGATATAGAGTCCACTTCCAAGATGATAAAGACTTAAGGCCATGTAATCCGCACAATGATCATACTATTTTACTATACCCCATCACATTTAAGAAAAGTTTCTCATTAAGAGGATAGAGTGCTGATACTAATTAATTAGTGATCCTATATAGAAGTACTCCTGCAACTCTTGTGGGTTTTGGAGGTCTGTTATATAGCCTCAAAACAATTAATGCAATTAATTAATTATTTGAAGTAATAGAAAGGAAAATGTAAAGCAACATAGTGAAAAGAGCACTATTGATTAGCGCATTTAATTTGATCTCATCCTTCTTGACCCAAATTAAAGGTAAAAAGTTAGGGTTGGGGGATAAGCTATACTTTACCCTGTACGGTTGGACCAAACTCATGGCTGAGCACAGTCAATTGAAAATGGCATCGATCCTCTCAACTAGCTTAGCTTCAAAATGTTATCGTGGTTTGATGGATAACTACTTTGTTTGTGTAATACAGAAGAAATGTATCCACCTCAACCTCAGTATGCATTCTTTGTCCACCTTCTTGCTTCTTCTTTTCTTCCTTCCACCTAACTAGTTAAAACGACGTGGCAGCAGAGACCATGCTTACTTCTTTCTATTTATTTATAAGATTGGGTGCGTTGGGCATTTATATGTACCTTGGAGCAACCAAAGAAAGAGCCAAAGGGAGATTTTGAGGGTAAGGAGAAAAGAAGAGATGGCATCTTGGGTTCTTAGAGCACTGACGCTTTTGGCTTGCTTGTTTCCAGCATCAGTAGAATGCATGGTTCGACATTACAAGTTCAATGTAAGTCTATATACATTTTCTCTCATTTTTTATTGTCGTGACAGAATTGAGCTATTTAATATATATATATACAATTATCGGACATAAAGTTTCACGTTTAAATAGTTGAATTGTATCATTACTCCATCATGATAAGCTTTACGTTAGACTGATACAATAAAATTAAACTGATTAAAAGTTACCCTAGCTAGAATAATTATGCCGCTGATCAACACTAATTAAATTGGAAGAATTTTAGGATACTTAAGCAGTACCATTAGTTGATTTGCATGGTACAATATTATAAAGATAGAGACATATATACATACTAATGTCAATAAAGACTTACTGGTGCAAGAAAACCAGCCCAGCAAATTTCTCCCACACTCTATATTTCTGGTTGAAAGTACTTGTCATCTTAATTACTATTTTCTTATGTATGTTCGTGCACGTTTTTGTCACCTCCTTCATTTTGCTGCTTTTTAGTCCTTGTCAATATTGCGTTTATCCTCTGAAATTCAAATCTAATCGTATTATTTCTTCCCGTTAATGAGCTGTTTCTCGCGAGGATATAAGTTTTCGTTAAGTTAATTGACCTAACACTTGAAAATCTTCTCCTAGGCTACGGCTAGATGTGTTTTTCAAAACTTGGCCGTTATGCCATGACGTAACCGATTTTGAAGCTTCTAATGTTGACCATATTAAGTTTGGTGACACCTAAGTGCACTGAAAATTAATTATTAATTGTAGAAATTTGGATATCTAATCTTGATTATTTGTTTGCGTTGATGATAAAGTTATAATGGAACAAAAAATTATAAATTTACACCAATAATGTATTTTATTAAATAAATAGATATATACAATATAAGAAAAGATTTATTTATATACAAATATTATATAT